ACTCAAAATAGCAATAACACAATTAACTGTGAATACCAGTTTTGTTGTGTTTTAAGTAAACAAATTTATACAAATTTATACTGTGATTGTATAGAACATATTAAACATATTTATACTGTGATTGTATAGAGTTCAAGTTTTTGAAGTTGGCTAATGATTAGTATTTTTTTAAATCGTTTACTAAATTAAAACTGTTTCCACAGTAACAAAATTAAAATCAAAAAGTAAGCAAGTTAAAATTAAACAATTTCGAAGGCAGAACTTAAAAAAAATTTATTAGTAAAAGCGAAAATTATAGAGAAATATAAAATCCTTTTAATTTAGAATTTTAAAAATTGTTATAAAAACTTGAAATAAAATAAATAACTTAAAATATTGTGGCCTAATATAACAAGTATACTTGTTTATAAATACATTTTTTGTTTAAAATTTGTTAAATGAGTACAATGAACTGAATTTTAAAACTGTAAAATAATCTTGTTCTTGAATGATCAAGTTCTTTATCTATACAAGTAAAGTAGGATACAATTAATTATAATATTGTAATATATCTGAAAATAATAAATGATAAGTTAGTAAATATAAATAATAAAAGATTACCCAAACATTATTTTTAAGATTAATCTAATTTTTCAGTCATTGTATTTTATATAAGAAATTTACTTTTTTTACTTAAACAAAAACAAAAAATTTAATACATTTGTTGTCATTCGTCACCAGTTAACAGTTTAAAATTTAGTAGTTAACCCATTGTTTTGTTCATTATGTCTGTTTTTTTTTTTCTATACATGTGATTGGATACAAAGATGAGATAAAAATCTGATTTAATTGTTTATGTTAAAATTAAGTATTATTAAAAACCTGATATACTCCACCAACATCCTCAGTTTATTTAGGATTACATTCAATGGTAATGTGGTTAAAAATATTTTTTATAACAACTTTTAATTCAATTTCTTTAAATTCAACATTTTTTAAAATTATTTGATTGTTATAGTTTTGTTATAATTAAAAATTTTAAAAAAATCAAAAATTATTTTTTATTATTTCATTTGTTTTGAGTTTTTAAAGGCTTTTAAAGGGATCCCTAAGTGCTATAAAGATATGATTTCATACGAAAGAGCATTAAAAAAAAAATTTTGATGTATATTATTTTTTCTAAAACGTAATAATGAACACACACTAACAAATTTAGTTTTCAAAAAAACGCTTTTCTTCTATTAAAAAAAATGTGTCTTTTCCAAAGTTCATTGACTCTACTGCCGCAAAAAACTAACGTTTGTACGTCAAATCAAAGAAAGTAGACAAAATGTCATTGTTGCAAACGTATTAGTTAGTAATTAAATTTAAAAGTAAAGTCGTTTTTTTTAAAACTAACACATAACTACTTACAAGAATAAGTTTTGTAGTATTTAGTGAAAATATATTTGTATATTAAAATTTTTTTCATAATTTTTATTTATATATTTGTGTTTAAGACCAAAAATGAATAGAAGTCAAATTTTAAACTCTTTTTAGTCAGTTTTTAACAAATGAATATTGATGTAGACACATAAAAGTTTATTTAAAATATTTCCTTAGTACAAAAATAAATTTGTTTCAATTTATTTGGCGGAGTTTAAAATAGTGTAAGTTACTGTTATAGTTTACAGCTTAATTTAAATTATAATTTAAGTTTATTTATTGTTTCTTGAATAAAGGACTAATAAAAGTTTAAATATAATTAAGTTTTTTATTTAAATGGTTTTTAAGTTGATGTTTTTATTCAATTTCTCTATTTCAATTGTTTTCCAATAAAAAGTGAAACAAAAAAAATTGATTAAATAAATCGAATAATATTTCATGTTTAAAATAAGTAATAAATAAGGTTAAAAAACGTTTAAGTAAAAAAATTGCTGGTTTTTATTAGCATTTTTATAGTGTTTGAAAAAAAAAAAAACTAATAAAAAAGAATTAACTAATAATATATTAGTTAATAGTTATTAGAATTAATAATAATAATTAATTATTTTTTATTAGTTTTTTTTTTCAAGCAGTATAAAAATGCAAATAAAAGTCAGCAATTTTTTTGCTCTAACGTTTTTAAGCCTTATTTTAAACAATAAGTCTTGATAAACAAAAATAAAAACCAAGCTGTTTTGTTAGAATGAAGAAAAAATTTGAATTAACGTCTTTTCCTTTTTCAACTTTTCGCTTTAACGATCTTTTCCACGCAGAGATTTAAAGTAATTTAAATTCAAAAATGTTTTACGTTGAAAGAAAATCTCCGCGCAAAAGAGCATCTATCTATTCAGAATAATAAATTTTGTATGACGTTCTTTACGATAAAAACATTACTTTTAAGAATTGCTAAAAAAAAATGTTAAGATAGAAAAAAAGTAATTAAACAACCAAAAAAAAAAAAAAAATCGCGAAAAGATTTTTAAAGGGATCCCTAAGTGCTCCTAACATATGATCTCATATGAAAGAGCATAAAAAAAAAATATGTAAGTTTTTTTTCTTTTTCACTAAATTGTAATAATAAATGCATGCTAACAAAAAGCAATTGCCGAAATCACTAAAAAACAACTCCATTTTGATTTTATTTTTTCACCATTGAAACTCGATTGTTAGTCGTTAAAAATCACGTTAGTACGTCACAACAACTTTAGAATATCTACTTCGATTTTCAAGTAAAAAAAAGTCGTGATTAAATAGTTAAGTTTTAATCAAGTTTTTTTAATTAGTTTTGCAAAAACAGTATAATGAAAGACGTCGTTAAAAAAAAGTTATAAGTAATAGTTTTAAATAGTTTAGAACTTATAAAAAAGTCTTACAGGGCTCGTATTAAGCGTATCGCGACCGCGATCGCTACACACACTTTTGTGATTAATTTTTTCTTAAAAAAAATCTTTTCGCGACTTATTTTTTTTTTTTTGGTTGATTAATTACTTTTTTTCTAGCTCAGCATTTTTTTTAGCAATTCTTAAAAGTAATGTTTTTATCATAAAGAACGTCACACAAAATTTATTATTCTGAATAGATAGATGAATAGATGATTTGCTCTTTCGCGCGGAGATTTTCTTTCAACGTAAAACATTTTTCAATTTAAATTACTTTAAATCTCTGCGTGGAAAATTTTTACAAGGTCGTCAAAGCGAAAAGTTGAAAAGTTGGTTTTTATCTTTGTTTATCAAAACTTCATGTTTAAAATAAGGCTTACAAACGTTAGAGCAAAAAAATTACTGACTTTTATTTGCATTTTTATACTGTTTGAAAAAAAAAACTAATAAAAAAGAATTAATATATAATTATTAATTAATATATTATTAGTTAATTCTTTTTTATTAGTTTTTTTTTCAAACAGTATAAATATGCTAATAAAAACCAGCAATTTTTTTACTTTAATGTTTTTAAGCCTTATTTTAAACATGAAGTATAATTCGATTTATTAAACCAAATTTTTTTGTTTTATCTTTTATTGGAAAACTTGAAATAGAAAAATTGAATAAAAACATCAACCATTTAAATGAAAAACTTAATTATATTTAAACTTTTATTAGTCCTTTATTCAAGAAACAATAAATTATAAAAAACGTGGTATCTAAGTTTTTGACGATGTTTTTTGATTTATTGACGATAATTTTTTCCCCCCACTACCGCACATCGGCGCGAGCTATAAGAGAGAGGGGGGGGAGGAGGAGAGCAAAAAAAAAAAAAAATTTTGCATTAATTCGAGCCTTGTCTTAGATTAATTTCTAATAAAATGTCTATTCAACCTTATCAATTTGAACCAAAAAAATATAGCAATTTAACATAAATGTTAATTTAACTAAAACATTTTACAATCATTTTTTTTATCAAGCAAAAATGAGAGTAACCGTCACTTTTGAAACCATAAAAACTACTGAAATAAATTTATTTTTTTACTAAGGCAATATTTTAAATAAACTTTCATATGTTTAAGTCAATATTCATTTGTTTTTAACTGACTAAAAAGAGTTTAAAATTTGACTTCTATTCATTTTTAGCCGTGGAATTGCCCTTATAACACAAATATATAAATTAATATTATAAAAAAAATTTTAATATACAAATATATTTTCACAAAATGCTACAAAACTTATTCTTGTAAGTAATTATGTGTTAGTTGAAAAAAAACGACTTTACTTTTAAATTTAATTACCAACTAATAAGTTTGCAATAATGACATTTTGTCTACTTTGTTTAATTTGACGTACTAACGTTAGTTTTTTGAGGCAATAGAGTCAATAAACTTTGGACAAGACGCATTTTTTTTAATCGAAGAAAAGCGTTTTTTTGAAAATTAAATTTGTTAGTGTGTGTTCATTATTGCGTTTTAGAAAAAATAATATACATCAAACATTTTTTTTTTTTTATGCTCTTTCATATGAGATCATATCTTTATAGCACTTAGGGATCCCTTTAAAAAAAAAAACTAATCGCAGAAATGTAAAAAGCAATCGCGATACACTTAATACTAGCCCTGTAAGACTTTTTTATAAGTTCTAAACTATTTAAAACTAATACTTAATAAATTTTTTTTAAAGACGTCTTTCAACCGAATTCTATTATACTGTTTTTGCATTAACTAATTAAAAAAACTTGATTAAAACTTAATTATTTAATCACGATTGTTTTTTACTTGAAAATCGAAGTAGATATTCAAAAGTTGTTGTGACGTACTAACGTGATTTTTAACGACTAACAATCGAGTTTCAATAGTAAAATAATAAAATCAAAATGGAGTTGTTTTTTAGTGATTTCAGCAATTGCTTTTTGTTAGCATGCATTTATTATTACAATTTAGTGAAAAAGAAAAAAAACTTACATATTTTTGTTTTATGCTCTTTCATATGAGATCATATGTTAGAAGCACTTAGGGATCCCTTTAAAAACCTGTTAAAAAAGGGGTTAATTACTTGTTATCATTGTTAATGATATAGATATTTTTTAGCAAGCAAGCATGCACCATTAATAAAAAGTTTTGTTACATTTAGTTTTAAGAAAGCACATCGCAGAAAAGTAATAACAGGTGCTGACGATACTGGTAGCAATGAGGAAAGTAAGGTATTTATCAAATTAAAATACATAGCTTTTTCTATAAAATAATATACACATGCATATTAAAACTTGGAATTTAGGTTAGCACAAAGTGTGTCCAGATATATTATCAATGATCTTTTGAAACCTTTTTTTTTTTAAACAATCTTTTACAAAAACTTAAGTTTGAAAAACTTCTTGTTTTTGATCAACATAGTTGTTTTTGAGCCTGGTCAAATTTTGCTACGACTTAAACCACTAAATCTTAATTTCTGTATGCTAGCAGAATTTAATTTGACACGAATATACTGACCTTAATTTATATTAAAGTTTTACATCAGTCCATGTTTTGAGTTTTAGATATAATGGTGTATATTTCACATTTGTATTTATAGTTAGCTTAAACTTAAAGATAAAATGTTTATTTTTGCTAATGTTTATTTGGTCAGAAATAAGCAAAACTATTTCTGACCAAATAAATATCGGAATTCAAAATTGAAATATAAACAATTCTGTAAGACAATATCTTAAGAATCATAGAAACTATATAATTGTTTGATTAAAAACTTGTCTTAAAAGCTCAAAGGGATCCCAAACCTCTGAGACATAATGTGTTCATATTAAAGAGAATGATATAAAAAAATGTTTGAGCTAAATTTTTTTGATTAAAACAAAAGATTAAATAAATACCAAGAAAAACAAACTTGTATTTTAGTCGAAGCATATCTTCTCTGTTTTATAGTAGGCCTAAAAGTCAGCATAATATATGCCACAATCTACAGATTTAATAAATTATTCAAGCGCGTTTTATTCCGAAGAGTTTTAGTACATGATGTCATTGACTTTTTTATTTGTTTTTGTAATCGATCTCTAGCACAAGCAAAAAAAAAATCAATAACATCATGTACTGAAACTCTTAGGAATAAGATGTGCTTGAATAAGTTATCAAGTCTTTAAGACAATTCAATACTTTATAAGTATGACAAAAAAATTTAGCAATTTATTAACATAAATTTTTATAATTTATTAGAAGCAATATTTATATAGTAACTAATTGTTAAAAAAAACTAGTCAATACAAATAATTTTTTTTTTGAAAAAACAATTTCAATAACATGTATGACATTAATAAAGTGTTTTTGTCTGCAACGGTAGACTCATTCAATTGCATGGAAAACAAACATTTTTGTAAAATATTAATCAGTTTGTTGTCCATATTAACTGCCATTGCTTTAATTCTATGCTTTACTGTAGTATTGCTTAATGTTTTTAAAACTTAAAGTATCTTGATGCAAGTGATTTGTGATAAATTCTTTTATCGAAGCTATTATTATTTTTTTCTCCGATGTTTAACTTTTACCTTTTTTTGCAGTCAATGCAATATGTGATAAGAGGCAAGTAGTCTATCCTTGTTTGTTGCATTTTGTTTTTTTTATGTTCTTAAAAATATTCTTTTATGTTCTTAAAAATATTTAGTTGGCTTATTCAAAACATCTATGTGTGTATGTATGTGTGTGTATACATGTACACACATGTATATAAGTGTGTGAGTGTGTGTGTGTGTGTGTGTGTGTGTGTGTGTGTGTGTTTACTATTTAGGTTTACATAAAAAATTTTAAAAATTAGTTAATTTATAATTTTTGATCATATATATAACCATACTTAGTGGCATTAACTGGTTAACATATTCTTGCTCTTTTACATAATAATTTTTTGATTTTGTCAAAGTTAATTTTATGCTACTCACTATTAGGTTCTTTCCACATATCTTTATATAATATAATTATATTTTAATTTTTAATATAAATAATAAAAATATTTAAGTAATGTTATAAAATAAAAGTTTCACTTAAATATAAAAATTATTTATATAAAGTTATAAGATAAGCCAGTCACTGACTGGCTTGTCCAATTAGGTGACAAGTTTTTTGTATTTTTTTAAATTTTTCAAAAAATACAAATAAACTGTAAATGCCTGTTCTCCATCTATATACAAGTTTATATTGAAAGTTTTAGCTTACTAGGACCATTTCAACAGGTAGATGTATATTTTCAATAATTTGAATAATCAACATTTTTTGCTTATATATACTTAATTATATATACTTATTTTTTGATTATATATATATAAATGTATGTAAAAAAGCATATTCTAGTTTGTGTAATTACTGTTTTATATTATTAGTATTATCAACTTCTATCTGAGATAATTAACAAAAAAGTTTAAAAAATAACACATGTTTTCATTTCAAATAACAATGTTTTTTTTAAATTTACAAATTTTTTCTAATAAACATTCTTTGAAATCTGTTTTCGATTTTCTCAAACAACTAAAAATGAATCCTAAAGTTTTTTTAGCTTGACTGAATATTAAGATAGAATTAAGATAGTAATCATCTCGGGGGAAAATCTCAATTTAAAAAAAAAAATTAAATATCTTTGCTTTCAAATACATCTGATGAATTCCAGAACCAAATATGAGAGTATTCTTATCAAACTTCTTTAAAACTAGAAGAAATACCACAAGTAGATAAAAATGAGACAAAATTATATCATTGCTTGTTGAAGTTGGAGTAAAGGGCCTTGTATGGACCTTTGATGTTATCTCCATTTATTGATTTGTTAATATTTTTAATATGTATTTCATGTATGTGGTGCTGACATAAAAGCCACTGAAACTTCAAAGTATTCTAAACCTGACCTGATGCTTTACCTGTCACTTGGAATAATTCCTAAGAAAAGATTGTTCTTGTGTAGAAATTCAGGAGTAGTAAAAGACAGCAATTCTATCCTTTGTAACTTTTTTTTGGATTTTCTTATACAAATGTGTAACTTGTTTGCCATCAAAGTGAAGGGCAAGATTTTTTCCTCTCATTTCCGCGATATAATTGTCTAATTTCATTTCCGTGATTTTAAATAACCTCATAGCGTTTCATTCTGACTGTTTCTCCTGATTTTTTTTATATTTACTCCTGGATAGTTCATAATAATGACTATAAACATTGTTTGATCTTGGTAGCTTAAACCGGTCCTTACACTGATAATAGTTGTAGCTGCAATTATGCCATCTTGAGTAATTTCTTTATTGACAAAAATTGAATCTGATTGAAGCATGAGTGGTACATCATTTTTTTATTTATTTATTTTTTTTTTTTTTAGTGTTGTTTGATGTATTTTGTTGATATTCATCCTCAGCAGAATTATAATTAGTATTACCTACCATCAATGCCAGATTTGAAAGATCTACAATAATATAAAAAAAAAAAATGAAAATGGAAAAGTACATTCACAGTTTATTCTATAAAGTAACATGCTACATGCATGTAAAATATGCAATTCAATTTTTTCATGATTAAAATACCTAGTTCAGATATCGATTTTATCTCATTTAAAAAATTTCCATCAGCATTTTTAATTGAGCAGGGCTCGAATAAGATACCATGTTTTTTATAATTTATTGTTTCTTGATCTAGAGGACTAATAAAAGTTTAAGTAAAGTAAATAAGAATTTAATTTGAATGAAAAACTTATTTAAGTATAAGTTTTTCATTCAAATGGTTTTTAAATTGATGTTTTCATTCAGTTTTTTTTCTATTCAAATTGTTTTCCAATAAAAAATGAAACAAAAAAATTTGATTTAATAAATCGAATTATATTTCATTAAGTTTAAGAATATGCTTAAAAACGTTGAAGCAAAAAAGTTGCTGGTTTCTATTAGATTTTATTTTTCTATTAAATTTATAAAAACGAATTAATATATATTTAATATACTTAAAGTAGTAAAATTTTAATAATATAAAATTGTTGATAAAAAAATAATTTCAAATATTAATAATAAATTAATATGGTGCAATGTTTTGAAAAACAAAGATAAAAACCAGGTTGTTTTGTTAGAAAAAAAAGAATGAGGAAAAAATTCGCTTTAACGTCTTTTCCCTTTTCAACTTTTTGCTTTAACGGCTTTTTAAATATTATTGGCTTCCATGCAGTTTAAATTCAAAAGTATTTTATGTTGAATGAAAATCTCAGAGCAAAAGAGCAAACAATCATCTATTCAGAAAATAATTTTAGCGTGATGTACTTTATGACAAAAGCATTACTTTTAAGAATTGCCAAAAAAAAAAGCTAAACTAAAAAAATAATAAATAAAAAAATAAAAAATTTGCAAAAATATTTTTTAAAGTAAAAACCAATCGCGGATGTGTGAAAAGCAATTGCGATCATGTCTTGTCTAAATCTAAGTTATTTTAATTCTCTTCATTATGATATTCAACATCTCCATTGGCCCCTGTTGACATTTTTTTCTTATAATTTGTGTACCTATGATATCTCTCTTTTCTACAATCAATCTCTGCTTCAAGTTCTTCATCTATATGCCTGCTTATAAATTGTTTTCTAGCATTTTTTTGATCTTCCAAAAATGCTAAATCTTCCTCTTTATTCTCTTTCTTATCATATCCTGACTGAGTTGTTTAAGCTTTTTAATGTTGGGTTTTCCAATGTCAAAAAGAATGATTGGTGAAAAAGAGTGGGTGATATCAAAAATGATTGATTGAAACTAACTTTTCTTTAGTGTCCTTTTTTCAAACTAGCAATTTTCCCTTAGTCATTGATACTGGTTTTTGTGAAGTTTCACAAATATTGATAACATTTTATCTTCTCCAATAATAATATAGTTTTTAAAACCACAGGACTCCCAGATAATTACTATTTTTCTAAGAAGGCACAGTTCTCCATTTTACTGATAACGCATTGTTTTTCCTTTGTATTTTATGTTAAAATTTGATCACAGAGGACAAGAAAAATTATCATAAGTACTTTTGAATCATTTTGATCTGCACTGAATATTGATAATGTTTTAGAAGTAACTCAGTTGGAAGCTGATTCTGAGGTAAAGAAGAAATAAAGGTTTAAGAAGGTAAAGAGGGCTCCAACAACTGACATTTAGATTCTCATTCTTTTTAATACTTGATTGCATCTTTGTGTCAATATGTTAGCAATTATATAAATGTTTAATGTTTATTTTTTATTTATATTTAATTTAAAAACAAATCATTAAATTTATTGATGTCATTATTAAATAAATTTTTTATTAGTAATTTTGTTTACAGTTTTAAAATTTTCAAAACTTCTGTAAAACGTTTTCAATGCAGTGCTATTCTATTCAATGAATGAAAAATTACACATTAAATTACATTTTACATTAAATTACATTTTAAATTTACAAAATGTCATATTTTAATGAAGTAAAAAAATATTGACGATAAACAAAGAAAATTTTGAAATAATGTTTAATTGTGAAAGCATCCGATTTCTACATCTAGCACTAATACTAGTCCTTAAAACAACGTTTTTTTTTGTTTGTTTTTTTTAACTCAATGTACAAATGTATAAGTTTTGAAAGACTTTTTGTTTAAACCTACGTATGCTAGTTTTTGCATAATGTAATATAATGTTTTTTTGAACTTACATAGCCCTTGTTTATTTAGCAATGTTAAATAAGTACTTATGTAAAGATTTGTTTCTACTTAAAAATGAATTCACTATGTTTTACAGCTGAAATGCAACATATAAGGCTTATTTGAGAGCCTATGATTTAATTATTATATATCAACCATTAGGCACACAATTATACTATTTTTTACACTACAAATATGGAAATTAAATTTAAACAAGGAGTTAATTGACACTATTATAATAATTATTATCCGGGATTATAACTTTGTTTCATAAAAATATTAGTAATTATAATTATGAACTTGATATTATGTTTCTGTGCCTAAATTTTAGTCTCTATTTAGTTTCCTTGTTTAAATTTCCAAAATATTTTCCCTAATCGCAAGATGGAAATAATGTAAAGTTTTGTGCAATAAATTGAAAATTCATATTTAGAAAGTTTAGCATACATATTAAATTAGAAATTTAGTCTAAAAAGTTGATATAAAATATATTCTAATATTTCTCAATAATACCTATAATTGAGCTTATGATACTAATAACAGTTGATTTTTTTTTGTCTGTTTGAATATTAGATATTTTTTAACTGCGTTAAAATTGATAACTGCCTTTTCATACACACTTGCATTATTAATAAGAATATATTTTCCAAATGCTTTAATCTATTATTACAGTCTCATAGCCAATCTACAAGTTTATGTGTGTGTGTGTGTGTGTGTGTGTGTGTGTGTATATATATGTGTGTGTGTGTGTGTATATATATATATATATATATATATATATATGTGTGTGTGTGTGTGTGTGTGTGTGTGTGTGTGTGTGTGTGTGTGTGTGTGTGTGTGTATACACGCCTGTTAAAAAATATGATCCTTTTCACATATAAAAACAAAATGTTAAAAAAAAACTGGAAAAAAACATTAAATGCTGCAGAATCTTATTTGATTATTGTGATTTTTAACCTAATATGTCAAAAATTGGTATTTATATAAAAGTGAAAACAATTAGAATTTGTATATCTATTGCAAATATTTGTCATTAGAGGCTGTTTAAATAATAAGCAACACATTTTTGAGCTTTTTTAGATAAATAAATTTTTTTTCCATATATAAATAAATGTTATGTAATTAAGGCATTATATCATTTAAAAAGGGGTTATAAAAGCAGTTATTACTCGCATTGTGGTAAATCAGTAATGTAATCAATAAAGTGGTAATCAATTGCCTCTAGTTACAATTTTTTTTTGTGATTTTCAACCAATAAATAAAATGCCTTTATCGCCATCATAAACATGCGATCCATTTAATAATTTTTGCGGATCAATACACTCATTCCAAACCACTTTTTATTGAAATCAAAGTTCTCAATATTTATGAGCTTAATGTTTTTAATGTTTTGTGCTTTATATGTATGTGGAAAAATGACATATCTTTACTCGTTTTCAAAGATCTCTTTTGTTTGAAACCAATAAATAAATATACATTTAGAAACAATAATTTTATATATGCACCCTTTTATCAAACCAAGTTTAAACAGTTTTGTATTGCATATCGTACATCCTATCTTTGGAATAAAATTGTTTTGTCCTATTTCGACATGCATTTTACTTTTCCCCTTTTTTAAATATAAACGGAAAAATTTAATTATCTTAATGGATGATGTAGTCAAGTTTTTTTAATTGTAATTTTATTTTTTTAATTACGTTTTATTTTGTTGATTATGTTTTGATGTAGTCTATATACATACTTGTAAAAGGTTCAGATGATAAGATCAATATGATCTTTTTTCAGAAACCTTGTTTGTGTTTGTGAAAGTAGTTTATCAGTTGTCTCTTTTTGAAATAATATTTTCCAAAATAATTAACTCTAAAATATGATGATGGCCAAAAAGAGTTTCATAAATTTTCATCGCCATCATTTTCATAGATTGAAGTCTTTTATATCTAGAATTTTCTTTAAAAAAAGGTTCTTTAAAAAAAAAGTGGGGGGGGGGAGTATGTGCCCCCAGTGACGTTGGCTCTAACAACTCGATTGTAAAAAGTATAAATTTTTAGGTATGCATAAATGAAGAAGACTATACAAACAATATGTTTAACAACGACTTTTAGTTATTTATTTATTTACTTTGTTCTTTGAAATAAGCTTTACAATGTTTTACAACATAACAATATAAAGTTTTGAAAAATTCAGACTGGAGCTTGCAGAAGACATGGTCTTATCATCCAGCCCCGTTGTTACAAATTTAGATATAATCTTGTATATAATACACATGCATAAACTTTTTTTAATTTTTTTTTTTTTTTAAATACAATTTTCTATATCCGGTATTTCTATATTCAGGACCACCAAGAGCCTTCACGCAGCTTGGGACGGGCAACCTCGATTGGAGCCCATTTTTTTCAAAATACTTCTGAATCATCATTGAAGGACCTTTTTTTTTTAGGTACCTCCTTTTTCTTTGGTGCCTCTTAGACATCTGCCGCTCAGGTTTCCTTTCGCCGCCTATGCCATCATCATGCCTAAAATTGAGTACCACTTTTAAACAATAGTAACAACTATTGTTTTTTTAATTGTGATGCCAAAAAAAAATCACCAAAAACTCGTGGAATTGTCACTGTAAACGTTATTTAGTAGAAACATTTGTATTCCTGTTCTTTCGAGTGAACAGAATATAAAATTAAAGCTTATGAAAAAAGTTAAATGCAAAAAATTAAAAAACAGCCTCTATTCCCACATCCAATCTATTGACCATTTCCCTCCTCCCACAGTCTTTACAAATTTGCATAGACGATACTTATTTTCAGAGTATTATTCTCTTTTTGAAATAATCTTTTATATTCTCTCATATATTTTTTAATCACTATATATACTATTTTTTAGGAATTTTTTATGTATTAAATATTGTAATTTTAAATTATAAGTTATTAACAACGTTTTTTCAATTGTTTTTAATGTGTTTGCATAAACAGAAAATAAATTTATTTACAACTGACTTCATAAAAATTCTTTTTATCTACTCTCTCTAACTATTTAAACCTCTCCCTGTTTTTAATTAAGTAGGTAAGAGTAGGTTAACGAATAAGGTTTGTTAAAAATTAAGCATATGATAAGAATAATATTAGTCTTACTTAGCATTTTAAACGCTTCATTCAAATTTTAATTGCATTGAAAATTCATTGGATTGATATATTCTTGATGTATTCTTACTAGATCTCAAGTTGTAATCAATTGTTTTCATTTCAATCTTGCTGTATTTATGTTAAATAAATATTTAAAAAAAGAAGACATTTAGATTAAAATACAATAATAATATAAATAAATATAAAAAATAAATATAAGCTAAGACAATTAAAACATAATACGCTAGTGTTGTTTACATTTTACATTTGTTTACATAGAAAACAATCGAAATACGCCATTATTAGTAAGTATTATACCAAACAAATTTAAAAACGGAACAGATGTAATGGAAGTTTTGTGTTTTGGATTTATTCAAATTACTCAAAATGAAATTCAGCAGAACTTAGAGATGAGCTACACAAACACTTTCATAACAAAAAATGATTTTTATATTTAAAGTAACAATATTTTATTCAGCCACTAGTAAAATTAATTAATTAAAAAAATTATGTGGGACTGTGGCCTGCCCTAATATATATATATATATATATATATATATATATATATATATATATATATATATATATATATATATATATATATATTATTTTAATTCACCTCCTCAAGGCCGAGGAGGCTACTTAATTGTGGTTATAACCCTCTCTCAACTCTATAACTCCGAAACACGAACCTTGACGAACAAGGCCGCTGCGCGGAGAAACAAGTTGAGCGTGATACTATCAGGGACGTGGTGGGGATCGAACTCGGAACCACTCGTTTATGAAGCGAGCGCTCTACCACTACACCACTACTGCATATATATATATATATATATATATATATATATATATATATATATATATATATATATATATATATTGTGGACCTATATATATGTTTATATATAGGTCCGCAAATGCATTACATGAAGGAGTTATACTCAACTACAAATACATTTTTACTTGTTTACAATTGTTAAATAAATAAAAATTATGTAAGTTCAAAAAAGCATTACATAAGCAAAAACTTAAATGTAGATTTAAACAAAGTCCATCTTAACATATACATTTATATATTATAACGTTTAAAAAAAAAAAAACGTTGAGTAAACTTCCGTGTTTGTTATTGTATATTTGATAATAGCAAAATAGCGTTTGCAGTGAACGTTAAGTAAACCTTCGCTATATATTATTTGAACGTTTGCATTGAACGTTCAAGAACTGTAAATCCGAGTTCACAAAAGTTGGTTTACATAATGTTTGCAGCGAACATTACGCGAACCTAAGTGAACATTGTGACAACATTTCTTAAACATTAATTATTAGCTGGAATAACAACAAGGGCTGATATTTCCATTGGATTTTTGTTTATATATTTTTATTTTTTTTATTATATAATTATTTAGATGTTTATAATTTTTATTACAGACGAAGCTTAATCCATTCACAGCATTCTCTGGTTTTGGAACGCTGACTGGTTTAGCCAACAATTCAAAAGTTGATAATAAAACATTTTCTACTACTAGTATTTTCACTGGTACCTTCGGTGGTGTAAAAGATACTTCTCTAAAAACTGAGAAAAAGTTAGACTCAGAAGCACCCACTGAAAACATTGGGTTTTGGTCAAAAAATAATACAGCTAGTAATGATTTTTTTGCTAATAGAGGTAAGATTGAAACTAAAGAATGTTCAAATTCAACAGAAAAAGACTTAGTAAACACAAAAACAGAAACAGTTGATAGTGAAATAAATAATAATAATGACACTTATTTCCAACATTTGTGTGCTTTAAATGTTTCTGTTCTTTCCTGGATTAAACAACACGTTAATAGCAATCCTTGTATAGATTTAACACCTGTATTTAATGATTATTCAAAATATTTAAAGGAACTTGATGAAAAGCGTGGGGATTTTAAGTCAATTCAGAATACAGCAATAAAAAGTATACTTAAAACCCCAGAAAGTTGCCATGTTTCTTCATCATTAATGGCTGCATCAAAACAGAATATTATATCCTCTACACCAATTCAAAAAGAAAATGCACCTGGTATGTTTATGTCTGAATACTTTTGATTTATTGTTTTGTATTATAATATAAATTTTTGATAACCCACATATATATATATATATATATATATATATATATATATATATATATATATATATATATATATATATATATATATATATATATATATATATATATATATATATATATATAAATTAATTTAAAACATCAGACAATACGAATTCTCTCAATACTAATTTATTTATTTGAAATTTTCGCTGGATTATCATCCGGCATCATCAGCATATAATATAATATAATTACAAAAATTTAGACCATTAAATAACAAAAAAAATTTGAAATTTTGGTGTCACCTTTATAATGGTTTCTTTTACTTAAATATGAAAGAAATGAAGTCCAAAAGTTTAACAGACAACATCCTTCTTTAAAATTTACTACTGAAGTTGAAAACAAAAATAAGATACTTAACTTTCTGAATATAACTGTTATTAATAATACACAAGGAAAATATGAGTTCGAAAGATGCTAAAATCAATATCTGAATCAAACCTCATTCTAATCACGATCCCAAAATTTTAAAAGCAATATTCAACAGACACATACACAGAGCATACTCAATATGCAATGAAAATAATTTAAAAGATGAGATAAAATTTTTTAATTCAAGTATTAACTGAAAATGGGTGAAATGCTTAAAGGTCTTCATTTTTATCAAGCTTAAATAAAAGAAACCATTATAAAGGTGACATCAAAATTCAAAATTTTTGTTGATATTTAACGGTCACAATTTTTGTCATTATATTATATTGTATGCTAATGATGCTGGTACCTATAATCCAGCAAAAATTTCAAATAAATTATTTAGTATTAATAGAATTTGTATTATCTGTTGTTTGAAATTAGTTTATATATATACACTCTCGTACAAGATGTCAACATTTAAATCATATATATATATATATATATATATATATATATATATATATATATATATATATATATATATATATATATATATATATATATATATATATATATATATATATATATATATATATATATATGTATATATATATGTATATATATATATATGTATATATATATGTATATATATATGTATATGTATATATGTATATATATATATGTATATATATATGTATATATATATATATATATGTATATATATATGTATATATATATATATATGTATATATATATATATATATATATACATACAGGCCTTGTTTTAAATATAAAATGCTTAACGCATTAGCCTAATGTGAATTTGACATTAAATTTTCTTTTTTTGTTTCGTTTTTAAAGACAACTTTTTTAAATCACTGCAAAAATATTAATTACCGCAAAGCAAATTAAGTATTATTCAACTCATTTTTTATTATTACTATTAGGGAGTGTTTATTCACTTTCAGTTTTTTTTTCATATTAAATAATTAAGTTTAATAATACATTTAAAAATATATGATATAAAAAATCCTTTCTTTTCTCGACATTTGTATAAATGAATTTAAATACGTTATATTTTTTTAAATGATTATTCATTAAATTTCCAATTGCAGCTTTGCAACTAAAAATTATTTTTTATTTATAAAAAAATTAGCAAGTAACAAATAAAAAGTTAATTTATTTACTTTATTTATCAAAAGTTTATTATTTTATTAGCGATTTTGTTGTGAAAGCAAATATTTTTCCAAACACCATTAATTATAAATGAAGATTTTGGAATGAAAACCTCAAATGTCACAAACAATTTTTTTATCAGAAAAGCATTTAAGCTATTGATGTTTTTCAAAAGTACCTTTTTTTTGACAGTTAATTTGAAGGACATAATTTTTAAAGAAATATTTAACAAGAGCCATTAGATGGACTTATAAAAAGGCAACCAAAAAATAACATAAACCCAATTTGCATAAAAATGGACAAAGTTTTCATTCAAACGTCTTCAATTATATCGCTGCATAAGTAAATAGTTGCTGCACTTTAATTTGTGTTATAAAAGAAATTTAACTTAAATTTTGTGCAAATTTTTGATTCAGCCTCAGTATAAAAGGAATTCTATTTTAAATTTAAAAAAAAAATGTTTAGGAAGGAAAGCCAAAAAAACAATTCCATTAAATATGTGTTAACTTTTTGAAGAGTAAATAAAATTTAAATATTCAACAATATTTACTAATATTTTTAAATAAATTTGACAATTAAGTTAAACCAAGCATTAACTTTAATTTTAATAAACTTAAATGTATTTTTTTAATCAGAATTAAATTACATATATTTTTAAAGTAAATAAATTTTAAATTAAATTATATCAGAGTTAAATAAGAGTTTGGGCTGGGACATCAATCTTTCATCTTATTATTCTTTGTTTTTTTATTTTCTGATAAAGCTGTATTCTATAAAGGTAAGTAAAAAGAGCTTTAGTATTTTTGTTGCAGTAAATTTGTTGTGCAAAAAAAAAAAAAAAAGCATATGAAAATGTATTTTCATGTCGCATATGAAAAATATTTTTAATTTTCCTGAACTGTTTATAGATGTAAAAAAAAACTAGATATTTTTTATAATAGTATCAAATGAGGTTTCATATAAGTCCTTAAAAAACTTTGATCATGGGGGGGGGGGAAGAGGTGGTTCTGACGCTACCCTTAATATTTAATGATAGTTTTTCATTTATTTTTGTTCTTTTTAAAATAAAAGGACTTTAGATAAATTTATTGCAACATCTAAGACATATTTTTTTATTATTTTTGTTGAATCAAGATCAGTAAAAGATCTTCAACTTTATATAGATTCTCATTATATTGTTGTCAGAAATTTTTACTAAAAAAGTAAAAAAAATGAATAAAATGTTTAATTATTGTTAAATATTACAATTTAATTTAAATATTTATTTATACTTACAATTTAGTTTTTCGTTATCAAATAATCAATATTATTTAGAAATTAGATTCTTTAATTTACTATTGCTTCATATGTTAATTGCAAACCTACCTTAGTTTTTGCCTCAACCATAAACCATAAAAATAAGTATACAGTTAAAAATAAGTGTATTTGTGTGCTTAAGTTTATAATGTGAAGCTTGTTTTTTCAGAAATCAATATAAATTGCGCAATTTGTAAGATAACTTTTTTGATTGTTTATGGCATTGTGGGATGTGAAGTTTAACTTGGTCAATATTATTTAAAATTTTGAATTGCTGGATGAGGTCTTGTTTTATTATTTTTTCCAACATGCGTAGCTATACATTTTTTAAATTTGTGAACATTTGACAGCTTTAAAAATGTCATTTAGTCAAGTTACATAATCATTTAGTGATTTAATACTTGCAATAATTTTGCTGGCATCAGGATAAATTTTTATTTGATGAACATTTGATGATAGTGTCAGATCATTGATGAAGAGTAGAAATAATAGCTGGAAAAACATCTTTGAGGAACCCCAGCAATCGTATTTATTCATTCTGATATAAAACATTCAATGATGACACGTTAACTGCTCCACTATGACTATCAGTTTCAGAAGTTGCCTGCAAATACTGTATAAAGAAATCTTTTAAGCAGACTTTTGTGAGATACAAAGCTTTGGCAAAATCTATGTATATTGCTGCACCGTAACCCAGTCAGCGAAATTCAATCCGGCATTCGGCAATTCCAACGCAAAAACCAACCTATCTTTGCTTTAAGACGGCATACAACTGCCGACCTGAATATCCTAAAGTGTCGGCATGCAAATTGAAATACATGTAAAAAATATATAATATTTGTTTAATTTTATTTTGTAAATTTTAATATTGTAATTACTTGCTTTTCAAGTTTGACATGTTTTATTAAAACAATAATTCATTCATTTTTTTTTTTCAATTTATTTTTTTATTTTTTCTCAAATTTATTCAAGCATAGCAAAGGTTAAAAAATATTACTTTTTAAATTTTGAAAAAATTGGTCTACCTCTTCTTCTAAAACGAAATCCCCAGTTGAACAATTAATTGTTGTAAATGCAACTAATAATGAGCAAAAAAATAGAGAAAAAAGAAGAAGAAATATTGTCTATGGCCTTCCTGCATCTAAAAAAGCTACATTGCAAGAACAACATGAGGAGGATAAAGAACAAATTAGTAAACTATTTCATGAAATAAATGTAGAAATCGTCCCAACATTCCAAAAAAGGCTAAATACGAAACAAACTGGAAAACCGGGACCAGTATTAGTGATTTTAAATAAAGATTCTGAGAGAAATTCAATTTTAGCAAAATCTAAATTATTAAGAGAAAAGCAAGATTACAAGGAGGTTTTTATTTCGTCTGATTTAACTAAAGCAGAGAGAATGGAAAACTATGAGCTTAGAAAGAAACGTGACAAAATGAATAGTGAAAGAATAGCAAACTTGCCCTTTAGATATGTGATCCGTGGAAATGGAATTGTCAAATTTAAAATACAACTTAACACAACAACATAAAAAATTAGTAAGTTTGTTATCATTTAATGTTTTATATACGAATGCAACATCTTTAGTAAACAAAGTTGAAGAATTTAAAATCTTATGCAGTTTTAAAAATCATCAAATAATTGCTATTACAGAAACCTGGTTTAATGAGACATCGGAAATTTATTTGGAAGGATATTCTTTGTATAAACAAAATAGGGGGGGATGGGGGTAGAGGAGGAGGGGTTGCGCTATATATAGATAGCAACCTAATATCTTATGAGGTAAACGAAGGTATATTAAATAGAAGTAAAATTGAACAAATATGGATCATTATAGTTGCAAATGATAAAAAATATTTAATTGGTTGCTTGTACAGACCAAGCGAACAAGTAGATATGCTTGAAATGAGTCAAATATTCACAGAAGCTTGTAAATTAGTAGAAAAAAATAATTTTGCAGATTTGTTAATTATTGGTGATTTTAATTTTCCAAATGTAAAATGGTCGAATGGATACATTAGTGATATTTTAGTAGGTGAAGATTCTGTTGAAAATGAATTTATTAATATTATATATGAATGTTTTTTGTACCAACACATATCAATCCCAACCTTTCAAAATGCACAATATGTTACAAAAAATACCTTGGATCTTATTTTTACAAAAAACAATGAACGAGTCTATCAACTTGAGTCTAACCCAGTTCTAGGAAATATAAATCATGGACATTTGGTTTTAACTTGTAAATTTAACCTTGATGCTATTGCAATGGAAAATTATCCAAAGTATAAATTTGATTACAGTAGACTATCCACAAATAAGCCTAAGTATTGATAAAATTGACTGGAATTATTTATTTGATGGGTTATCAGTTCAATTTATGTATGATCTGTTTATTGAAAAAATTAGTCAATCATGTAATGCTTTTATTCCAATAATTGACGTAAATTCAAGAAAGAAAAGAAAAAATAATCCATGGTTTACTGATGAAGTAAGTCTTCTAGTACATTCAAAACAAAATTTGCGTTATCAAAATTTATCATCGAACTGGGAAGATTTTAATAAAGTAATGAAATATAAAAATATTTGCAAAACTGTGAAAATAGAATCGCGTAAAGCAAGATGTTACTATGAAAAAGATCTTGTTGAAAAATCAAAGGTAAATCCGAAACTGCTATAGAAATATGTGAATAGTCAAAAAACGATTAAACAAGTAATTAAAGCATTAAGAGATCAAACTGGTTGCGTAACAAATGATCAAAATGAAATTGTTGAAATTTTAAATAAACAATTTCAAGATGTGTTTACCATCGAAAATTCTACAGAAGAGCTTCCACAAATCGAGAATTTAGGGTATATTATTATTGATGCAGTTAATATAGATTATTTTGATGTAGATTGAAACATGTTGATATCAATAAAACATATGGAGTTGATTCTATACATCCGTTGATTTTGAAAAATTGTGCGGATTCTGTAGCATTACCATTAACTTTAATTTTTATAGAATCTTTTGTCAAAAGTGAACTACCAACTCAATGGAAAGCAGCAAATATTACACCACTATTCAATAAGGGAGATAAATTAGAAGCTGCAAATTATAGACCAGTGTCATTGACGTCAATTACTTGTAAAATTATGGAAGGTATAGTCAGAGACTGCATACAATCATATTTAATGAAATATAAATTAATATCGAAGTCACAACATGGTTTTGTTAAAAGAGAAGTCTTGTACAACAAACTTATTAGAGGCGTTGGATTATATTTCATTTAATTTATCGATTGGTATTTCGGTAGATGAAGCACTTTTAGATTTTGTTAAAGCTTTTGATTCTGTTGCTCACAAAGACTATTGATTAAACTATCTTCATATGGAATTAGTGGTTTATTATTAAAATGGATTGAAGCTTTTTAAAAAAACAGAATCCAAAGAGTTATCCAAGGTGATGCTGTTTCTTCGTGGCGCAAAATCTTCTGGTGGTGTTCTGCAAGGATCCGTAATAGGGCCCTTATTATTTGTTATTTTTATTAATGATATATCAAATATATTTAAAAATAAGTCAGTATTGTATGCAGATGATACAAAAATTCTTTCAAAAGTAAATGAAATAAATGTGGAAAATAGCTTGCAAAAAGATCTGGATAGTGCAGAGGAATGGTCTAAAAAGTGGCTCTTGGGTTTTAATTCTAGTAAATGTGTTATAATGCATTATGGTACAAATAATCCGCAATTGAAATATACTTTAAATAGTGTTGAACTGAAAGATTCTGAATGCGAGAGAGATTTAGGTGTATATTTTTCAACAAACTTGAAATGGAAAAAACAAATTATATCAAGTACTTCTAAAGCAAATTCAATGATAGGTATGTTAAAGATGACATTTTCACGAATTGATGCAAAATTGGTTAAAAAATTGGTTAAAGGTATTTGTTAGACCTCTTATTGAGTTTGCAGTACTTGTTTGGTCACCTTATTTTAAAGGAGACATATCACTTTTAGAAAAAGTTCAACACAGGATGACTAGATTAGTTTCATCATTATGGAAAATTAATTATGAAAAGAGATTGGAAATATTAGATATATCTACATTAAAAACAAGGAGGGAACGTGGGGATTTAATACAAGTGTTTAAATTACTTAACAGATTTGAGGAAATTGATTTAATTAATGAACCGAAGCTTAAAATTGATTCAATTACTCGAGGTCACAATCTTAAATATGAAAGAGAAATTGTGAACTATTTACCTCGGTATTATTTTTTATTAAATCGTACGGCCAATTTATGGAATGCTTCACCAGAAACTGTTGTTACTTCAAAAACTGTCAATCAATTTAAGAATAGATTAGATGAGTTTATTGCTAAATCAAAGAAGTTGTCATAATAAAAATAAAGGCTGTGCTAAATTAGCAACAGAAAGGTTTGTATAGTTTTGTATAGTTCATACTACAATTAAATATTGAAAAACACCACCCCTACTACTGGAGAATTAAATGCTTATTTCTCGTAAAGGTTAAACAACCAGATGTAAACTGTCTACTCCTTTTGTTAAACAGTATGCCGTTTTAAACAAAATCTTCGCCTACAGCGCATTAACTAAATTTGTATTTCTAAATGACGTTCTTTCTATGAGCAATCTATAATTAAAATGTAATAAATCAACTATGACCTTTTTTTTTTGTAAAAAAAGACAATTTCAAAACTAAAAAATCACTAATTCATAAATTTGCTATATACATAATTTATTTAACAAAATTTAAAATATAAAATATTATTGTCTGAAGCTATGCTATTATAATACAATCCTTTTATAATCATTTAATCATTACTCCTATCGTAACAGAAAGCAAAAAATCCAATTTTTTTTTTTTTTGCCGACCTGACGTCGGCTAAGGTTGGCACGTTTGTGCCGACCTGAAACCCTACGAATTTTGCTGACTGGTAACCACAGTGAATCGTTTCTGTATGAATGTCATGAGTGTCAAGTAGATTACTAGCACATTCTTTTTTTTGTGAACAAAACATGTTCAAAACATATGATGATGAGGAAACCTCAAAACTTTGCATGGCACTGATGTAAGAAAACGGATTGTAATTTGAGGGTTTTTGTTTATTACCCTTTTTGAAGATTAGCATTGAATATTTTTTAGTGATCTTGAACAGTACTGCCTTTGATGAAAGTGATTGTGTATTAACATGAGTGGGACCTTAATGTTAGATGATAATTTAATATATATTTTATGTTTCAACTAAGTTAAATGTAAATTACATGTTAGGGAGATCATGTTACTACTTTTGAATTTTAATAGAGCAGTTGAATGCTACATAACAGTTTATATAAGTTAACATAGCATATATAATAATATTGTTTGATGTTTTTAGTTAATTTAAGTTAAAATAATTTTAAAAATGTTTTTAATTAAAGTATTTTTTTGTTAAAGAAATATTTAAATATATATATATATATATATATATATATATATATATATATATATATATATATATATATAATTTAAATATTTCATTAAGCATGGTGGTTTTATTTTAGTCACAAAATTTAGCAGCAACTTTTTCAGTTCAACACCTTATCCTGCAAAACCTATTGAAACAGCTGTCATAAACAAAGATGATGAAGATGATGAAGGTGAAGTTATACCTGAACCTGAGATCAAGACGTATGTTTTTCTGTTTACATTTTTTTGTTGTTGCAAATATTGATTTATATGAAATCTTACCCAATTTCTGAGCCTATTAAGTAAATTTAAAGTAATTATCTTCTCTCTATTATTTTAATAACCTCTTTTTTCTTTAAATATAGTATTGAGTAAGTTTGTGAAATGTTTACATCTCCAAGGTAGAGATGTTAACATTTAACATCTCTACCTTGGAGATGTAAAAATTTCTCCTTAATTTTTGCTTTGTCTCGATGACTATACTCTAAATCCTACAGTTTTGTAATATAAACCTTAATGAACAAGGCCAATGCAAAAAAAACAAAACAAGTTATGCACTCTTCTAAATATCTATTATTGGATTTACCAATTTGATAAAGAAACAAAACGATAAAGGAATTTTAATGTTGTGTTTCCTTTTTTACTGAGAATATTTTTTGTCTATAAAATATATTCAATTTAGTCTACTAAAAAGAAAAGTAAAAAAAAATTTATAAATACTTCTTAGATTTTAAAACTTTACATAAAAGTCTTAATTTTAATTTAAATGTCAACATTCTTCAAAATAAACTTGATTATTACTATCTTTTGCTTATTTAAAAATAATCACTTTGCATGACATTAAATCACTTACAGTACTTATAAATCTTTTATCTCATCTATGGAAACTGTGGAAACTATGGAAACATATGGTAGAATAATTAATCTTAATCTTGCAGCCTTACAATTATCTTAAATTTATATTGATTACCAGCAAACCTGTTTTTTTCGTAACTAATAAGTCAATAACTAATATTATAAAAATGCATTTTTTCATAAAATCTTTCTTAATAAAATGTTTTTAAATTATAGATACTGTTTTGTTTATTAATTCCACCAAGCATTCAACACAAAACAGCACCTTGAATCTTGAACCTTAAAAGGCCAGCTTAAAATAGTGACGTTCTTGGATTTTTTTGAAATTTTTTAGGAACTGCTTCATGTTATTTTATTTTAAAAAAAACTAAAATTTTATGGCTATAATTCCAGGGGTACATTAAACCTTTACTTGAGTAATTTTTAAAGTTATTCATTTTTGAAGCACTTTCAAGCAGTTATAAAAAATTCTTTTAAAAAAATAGTTTAAAAAATTCCTTTAAAGCTCAAATTTACTTCAAAAATGTATCAAAACCTCAAAACCTCATTGTAAAAGATAAAATTTATTCTAACTTTGACTAGCAAAAAGTCAACATACCAGTGAGCTATTTAAATCTTTTTTGAAAATTATCGATCTACTAAAATACTCTTAATGACTTCAATGGGTGGTATTGTCTAAGGTCTTTGACACAAAAAAACAACTCTATGTTATAAAAGAACTCCATATGAACTTGTTCAGAAGTGTTTTCTTTGTGTAACATCCACAAGATTTTACACATTTTACAGGTGTAAAATCTTTTGGATGTTACACCTGTTTTCTGTTGCACTTTTGAGGAGACAAAGTATATACCCTTCGGTACTTAAAACATAAAAAATTTAAATCTTCTACTGACATCCAAGCAGGATGTTTCACTTTGAATTTGATGAATAAATTACTTCTTTTTTAAATATTTGACGAATGTATGTGTCTTTCTCAAGTATACTTATAAGCAGTGTTTCACTAAAACTTTGAAAAAAATATGTTTGCTGGAATTCAGTTTTCTAAAAAGATTTTAATAATTCCAACAAAATAAATTACAAAAGAAACACAAGGTACATAAACAATTTCACCCGGAAATAATGTACAATATTTTCCAAAGCTTTTTTACATAATACTTCTTTCTTTCAAATATTCTTCTTTTGGTATTTTAATGATTTCTCAATGGCTTTGTGGGTATTGAGCAAGACTTGACTTTTATCCTATTTACCAGTGCTTGCAATTATAGTCAACAACACAATTGAGCAAATTATGACCATACTCAGCATATATCAGATGGTTGTGGAGGCCAAGTCATGGTTTTTATCACTTTCTGCTTTTCTTTTGTCTTCAATTAATTTGAACATAATTTTGATGTGTGTTTAGGGTCATTGTCTTGTTGAAAGACAAACCCTTTACCAATATTACGAATATCAGATGGTACCGCATGATGAATCAAAATACTATGGTATACTTTTTTATCCATTGTTGATTTGACTTAAACTAAATCACTAACTTTTCCTCCAAAACCACCTCTAATCATGACATTACCACCACTGTGTTTCACTGAATAACTTAAACAAACAACATTTACACTTTATTTCCAAATTACTACAAATAGCATTTGAATATTTTGTTCTTATTTTCTTATTTCAACTCATGTTCCTACAAATTACACATAAAATACCCATTTACAATATATATTCAGTAATAAAACTTCTATTTTAGATAGATATTATTATTCTAAATAATGCAATTTACTCAAAAACTTACTTGGCACGAAAAGACACGAAATATACTATCAACTCAGTACAGACAAACTCACTGATCGCACTCAAAACTTTTATGATACTAAAACTGAGCGGACTTTTGCTTTTATACATACATAAAACTTTCCAGAACAGACAGAGAAAGTTCTACAAACTAAATATTACTGCGCACAAAATTAAGAATTATATTTAGTAATTACAAAAAAAACAACAGTCTACAAAATTTATTCAGTAATAAAACTTGTATTTCATAATAGATATTATTACATAATATAAGAAATTAATTAATTTGTAATAAATTTCAGATAACTTGCATTTACTCAGATGAGAAAGCAAAAATTTTTACATTCACATGAGAAAAATTTTGCAATATTGAGTATGACCAAAGACTTTAGCACGCTAGTGTATATCAGAAAACTTTTGGCAAAAGTAAGGCTCAATAACTCTGCCTGCACCAATTTGATTAAGTGTTGTGGCCAGCTGTCTCGTTTTTGAATTTGATAAGCCAATACTTAATTGCACTTGCACTAGACCAGCTGTAGTCAATGTTTCTGGAAGTGGTGGCTGGTACAGAGATAAACCTAAATAAAGGAAAACATGGTAGTAATACTTTGCTTCTAGCTACATACCTATTTTCCTTCAAAAAATGCCAATTTTTAACCTTGTTGTAGACATTTCTATCTTTGGTCTTGACTGAGTTGGATTGTTCCACCAGGAGAGGACAGTGTGTTTTTGATTACTGAAGAAGCAATTTGGGTTCCAAGAGTATCAGACTGAACAAGTTTTTGCAAGTTTGCATGTCATGGGTATCCTCAATGAAAAACTGTGAGCCATTTGACACACTGCTTTATGACAGATGCAGCTGATGTGGATGGACCTGTGGAAGGACTAGGTTGGCTGGCAGCTTGCAAAGGATGAGGCTGATTCAGTTTGAGTTGTCCAATCCTGCAAATGAGGAGTCACATGCAAGATTTGTCCTTGTCAGTGGTTTGATTGTGGTAGACTTGAAATCATATAGAGCTGGATTAGAAGTGCCTTTGTCACCTTTGTCATTTTCATTTTTTTTTTTATACAAAATCTCAACAATTTATATCATACACATATCACATGGGTTAATCTGAAGACAGTGGTGTTTCCCAGAAAAAATGCCAAAAATGATTATTTATCACATTTGCTGGTATTTTGTTGTCATTTTTTAAATGCTCATATTTTAGGTTAATTTATATTTTGTAATTTAACTCAACATTTAAAAATGTTTGTGAAATATTTATAAAAAACAAATTATCTAATTTTTTTATTAGCTACAACTTTTATTTTATTCATTATATACTAATAACAGATATATTTGATGATGGAGGCACATACATTAATCAAATATTTAAAAAAGCAGTAATTTTATTCATCAAATTCAAAGTGAAATTTCCGGCTTGGATGTCAATAGAAGATTTGAATTTTTAAATGTTTTAGGTACCTATGGGCATATACTTTGTCCCTTCAAAAGGACAACAACTGGCTTTTTTGGTTATGTTACATATAGTTTTTACAGGGTGTGCTGTAACAATAATATTTTGTTTTAATTTATTTTCCATAAATATTGCTTTAGCATCAATTCCTCTTAGAGACAGAAGTTGATAAACAAATAAAGTATGATTTAATAAAGTTCTATCTATTAATGTATGCTCTGGGTGCTGTGGGTGTTTTTAAGCTGATGGTTTTGAAGTCAACTTCAGTATCCAAATACTTAAGGCATGTTGACTCACTACACTGAAAACTGTTCATTTTTCCTTTACTACAATTTTAAGGGTCGCATAGGATTATTATTGTTGTATAAAATTGAATAACTTGAACTAATATTAGTTATTTTGCTATCAATGATTCAAACTTGTCACTCACAATAACTGATACTTTTGAATTTTTTTTTAGATCTGTATCCCACTTGGGACATTTTATTAAACTGTTTAACTGCTTGGTTTCCACACACAAAGTGTCTTTTGCATGCTGATCACATTTCTCTATTACTGTGTCACCAGAATCATTTTTGTACAACAAACAGTTTGAAAGCATCACGTTTTTACCAAAATAGGCTTTTTGCTTTTCTCTGAACTCAAACACTCGGGGAGTGTTTTTTGAAATCAATCACTAGCCATAAGTCGATTTCTTAGTTAATTTTGAGGATATATTCTTTAGCTTTGTTTTGTTGCACGTATCAAAAGAATATTTCAATATTTTTAATAGAATTTTGTATTTCTTTATTTTCAGGTAGGTTCTTGATCAGATTTTTCAATGATATTTAAGTTCTTCTTTTTCTTTATTTTCAGTCAGGTTCTTGATCAGATTTTCAATGATATTTAAGTTTTTCTTTTTCTTTATTTTCACTCAGGTTCTTGATCAGTTTTTCAATCATCTCTAAACATTTTGAAAGTAACCAATCATAACATTTTTCTAGATAAGAATAGCAGTTATTCATTTTAAAGTTGTTTGTTTTGAAGTTATTAGTAGTACTACATAAAACACAGCTACCTACACTACCTACCTACCACACTACCAGCTAAAACTACCACACTACCAGCTACCTACACTACCTACCTACCACAGTTACCTACAACTTCATCGAACTTTATTTTATGGTAGTTAGTTGTTGAAATTGATGCCTCAGTGAAACTCTAATGTGTCATTTCACAGGGCTTATATCTGAAGCATTCGTTTCTAATAATTTATTAGCATTTTCTGATAAAAAGGAGCTCTCTGGAGGTTGGGTGTGCAAATAGAATAATTTTTTTTAGGTCATGATTTAGAAACACGTTGTCTCATTCTGTGAATTCTGCACAGCTGGCAAGATACTGGAAAAGTATAAGAAAAGTAGTTATTAATCATTTTATATAGTCTCTGGTTGCTTTTTGGAGATATTTTTTACTTTTTTTTACTTTTTTTGTTTAAGGAACTTCATAACATGGATGTAAGCACTGTTTTGATACATACCAGTACCTGCCATGCTTTTGTTTATAAATTAATTTTATATGTATTTGCAATTCAGTTATATGTTATTTCTTTAAACTGTCAAAAAACATTTTATTAATATGAAGGGTATCTTCATTTAGACACAACCACTCATTGAATTCTTTTACTTTAACTATAAATTTAAACTATACTTTAAACAATGTTAAAAAAGCTAGACTTTAACAGTTGGTTGGTGTAACAGCTTTTATGTCAAAATAAATATTAATTTTTTTTCAATACTGGTGAAGTTTTAAGTTTTTGTGTCAAGGTTTTTAGACTAAATTTGAGCTTTAAAGGAGTTTGACTATTTTTCTAGTAATTAAAACCTCAATTTTTTTTTTTTTTTTAATTCTATAATTTTTTAAAATACAATCTACAATCTAGATTTTTTGTTATTGGGTTATTCTGGTATGGTTTTGGGTAACGGGAAAAAGTGTGTTGTAAACATGTTGAAAAGCTCACTTTTATTATATGTATACAAAATGGGTTTTTACCAACTCTTAAAAATTTCCTCTAATTTCAATAAACTTTTATGACTTCTTGAAAGTGCTTCATCAAAACAATAATAAATTAAAAATAAAATAAAATCATTTAAACCGCTTTAAATCAAGGTTTCAAAAAAAAAAAAAAAAATTAATTTTAGGTTTTAATTTGCATTTTCAAACGGTCATAATTTCTTTAAAAATTGATATAGAAAATAAGCTTAAGGATTAATAAATAGATCATTCTATTTTTTTGCAGATATTTTTTTTATATATATACAAATATGATTATACCAGGACGTGACCAATCCATTCTGTACATCTTTAAGATTGATTTTTTATAAGGTATTACTTTATTTTAGACTTGGGTTGTTTAAGTGTTTTAACGTGTTTTTGCGTAATGGCTTTAAGCTTAATTGTTTAAAGTAATATGTTTCAATCAAAGAAACTAATTTACTTGCTTAATTAATTGCTTTTAATATATAATTGTAGTTGTATAATTTTTTCTTTTTTGCAGTACTTCGGTGTCGATTTTAAAATCTTTTTTAAAAATCAAAATTTTTAAAAACTATTTTTAAAATTTTGATTTTTTTTTTTTATTGAGAATGTGATAATGAAAATCAATTGATGTGAGGTTGTTTTTTGTTTTCTTTTTTAAATCAAAAAAATAACATGCAAAGTTAAAAGTATTTCTTTTCAAATTTTTTTTTTTGTTGTTAGAACTTTTTTCATCCATAAAATAAATTCTAAGAGTAATTCTAATAATATCATAATATATTAAGTTTCGTTTATATTTTTAATTAAACCTCTATTTATGGCTAGGCTAAAACTGTTTTTATTTTAGGATTGTTGAAGAAAATGCATTTTATCAAATTCGATGCAAGCTTTTTTTCAAGAAAAGTAATCAATGGCAAGAACTGGGCAAAGGAATGCTTTACTTGAAAAAATCGTCTGATGACGCAAAAACTCAACTTCTTATTCGCATGGAAATTGCAACAGGAAAAATATTATTGAACGTTAGTCTAAATAGTGGCATGCCAATATCACGTACTGGAAAAAATAACGTTATGATTGTCTCTATTCCTAATCCACCAGTTTACACAAAAGCATCAGATGGTGACAATAGTGTACCTTGTACGTACTTGATTAGAGTTAAAGGTACTCCTGAAGCTGACGAACTACTTTCAAAAATGAAAGAATAATTTTTTTAAAACATAAAAACAGATATTACATCTGATGCTAAAATAATTCAAATTCTATTAGTATTAAGGTGGTATGTTTTATTAAGATTTTAATGCAAAGTATTTTGTTTTTGATCGTTATTGAAGCATCCAAATATTGTAAAGTTTCAAAGAATTGTGCTCTAGAGAAATTATTGCCCCTATAGGTTTATATCTACAAAAAAATTTATTAATTATTAAAATAAGCTAACTATTAAAGCTATTTTTTTTTTATCTTTACTTGAGACTTGAAAACGAGCTTACATAAGAAAGAAAGTATGTAATAATTTTAACGTAACGTTTTAGTAATGATTTTAACGTAATATTTAGTAATGATTTTAATGTAACGATGGGTAGTAGTAACTATCAAAAACAGCCAAGCTGAACTTATTCGTAACATCGAAATTGTGAAAAAAGAAATAGTATCGAAAATCTTAAAAGCAGTATAAGATGGAAATTAGAAGAAAATGATTAACATCGAAATAATATAAAAAATCAAAAAAATGATTATGATTCAATTTTTTTTAATTGATTGACTGCCTGCCCAAACAAAACCCTCAGTCGTTGTAGCAGCACTACGACTCTTTTTTTAAACCTTGGTCAATCTTTTGTTATTGCTATCTTAACAGTGTCTATCTGATTTTAGAAAGTAATGGTATAATACTTAAGACGTGCATAATAACGATGAACGAGTAAAATTTTTAAAAAGATTTATTAACCCGTTAACCCATGCAAGTAAAGTTAAAATGTTTTCTTTGTAATTTGAATTTATTTTTATTTCAGTACAATAAATTCAATAGTAACAGCAATATAACTTATACAAAGATTTTTGAATTATCCTTTAAAATAAAATTTATGATCATCTTTCTATAAATAAGATACTAAATACAACCCGATATGGATTTTTAAAAATAATTCCACTGAACACGCAGTGCTTCATTTGACTAGAAATATTGCAGATTCGTTTGAGAAATCACAACTTTCTCATGGAGATAGATACGATAAATCATGAGATTCTTTTTAAAAAACTAAAAAAATTGGGAATCTGGTTATTTCTAAAATTACTTAAGAGCTATTTAAGCGATCGTGAACAGTATGCGCAAATTGATCTATCCTCTATTACAAATTTACTAGATATAATATGTGTTGTCCCCCAAGAGTCTATACTAAGACCACTTCTTTTTCTCATTTATATTAATGATCCTTGTAATGCCTCAAATTTAAAAACAGTAATGTTTTCTGATGAAACAAACTTTTTTCTGTCTAGCAATAATATCATAACATTATTTAATGACATGAATATGGAGGTAATTAAAATTTCAAAAAGTCAAATAAGTTATCAATTAACATGGAAAAAACTAAATGGATTTTTTGAATTTCATTCAAAATCCAAAAAATATATTTTGCCAAATGATATTCGTCAAATATATATAGATAATATTCAAATAAAACAATCAAAAGTTATACTTTTTCTAAGTGTTCTTATTAATGAAAATCTCACATGAAAAAATCATATTAAAACCTTGCGCAACAAAGTTTCAAAAAATATTGGAGTATTACACAAAGCAAGAAGTTTTGTAAATAGACACGCATTAATTCAACTTTATTACTCACTTATCCAGTGCCATCTAAAATATTGCATAAAGTAGTGCTAAAAAAGTCAATTAGATCCTCTTTATCGATAACCGAAGCATCTAGCACGACTAATAAACTTTAAAGATCGTTTTACTCATGCCACTTTTATTCGAAATAAATATTTTTAATCTATAACAACGAAATCTTTTTAACGTTCTTTGTTTTAAATTCAAATGTAAGATAAACTTAACTTCAAAATTTATATGCAATAAAGCCCAAAAACAAATATGATCTAAGAAATGACTCTTTCATTTATCAACATTACTCGCAAACAAATTTTGGATGGTCTTTTATATCTTATGGCGAAGCCTTTCTGTGGATCCAAATTTTGATTTTTCCCAAATTAGAACTTTTCTACTTTCAAAAATAAATTTAAAAAAATTATTTTCTCAATAGATAATATATTAGAGTTCTTCTAAACTCGTTTCTCTTTTAAAAGCGTTATCTAAATATAATTTAAAATATTTTGATTTGATTTTTTGTTGTTTTGTTAAACGGTGTTTTATAATTAAGATTTATCTTTAAAAAAACTTGTCTAATCTTTGTTAATTGTTAGTTTTTTCGTTAGGTAAGCGATTTGATTTTAAATAAATTATAAGTTCTCGTCGTGTAAGAGTATTTTTGTACCATCCTAGAAAAAAAATGCTTGTCAGATTTTTTTTGTCACACTTTTTAAATATGTTTTATTGGAACGTTCCACAACGTTATATATTAACAGTGGCGTAGGAAGGTTAAATGTTTGAAATAACCAACTTATAAACAACGAGAATATTCCAAATTTTTTTACGTTCATATATATATGACGAAAATATTTTTAAAATAAAAAATTACTGTGATAGGAGAATGGGAACAAGAAACCTCGAAATCTTAGCCCCCCCTGCCCCAAACGTGAGAGCAAAATCGAGAAATTTTAAATTTTAGATCAAAGTATTTTATGAGTATTTAATATGAAATTTAAAATTTGTCTATGAATATAAGTCTAGATGAAAATAGTGCAAAAAATATTTCATCAACATGTTGCTCTCACGTTTGGGGCAAGGGCCGGGCTAAGATTTCAGGGTTTCTTGTTCTCATTCTCCTATCACAGTAATTTATTTATTATTTTTTTTTTTTTGTAAAGAATCTTTTTGTCATGCATGTGAACGTAAAAAAATTTGAAATATTCTTGTTATTTTTAAGTTGGTTATTTTAAACATTTAACGCCACTGTATATATATATATATATATATATATATATATATATATATATATATATATATATATATATATATATATATATATATATATATATATATATATATATATATATATATATATATATATATATATATATATATATATATATATATATAAATATATATATATATGCATATATATATATATATATATATATATATATATATATATATATATATATGCATATATATATATATATATGCATATATATATATATATATATATATATATATATATATATATATATATGTTTAGAAATTTTATTGTTCAAGTAAAATGTTTGTCCACACATCGATCCCACTGTCACTTGCGCTATATAAAAAAATTCTATTTAAATAGGATTGTTGTTACGTTGAATTCTATTTAAATGGGTAGTTGGTAACTGATCACTAATAGTTTAAGAGAAAGAAGAAAATAAAGATGCATTTATAATAGAAACTTTACTTTTTTTTTTTTTTACGTTGATTTAGGTGCCCAAGAAGTCCTTACGGTCTTATCACAGAGCACCGCGGAAGAGCATTTAATAGGAAGTTCACGCCTCCTTCCCAACCGATGTCGCAAAACTTGCCCAGAGGTGGGGTTTGAACCACGGAACTTACGTTTCTAAGGCAAGTGCGCCACGGCTGCTTTAAAATTACTTTGAAAATTATATTATATATCTATAAAATTTATGTAAAAGGAGTTTGATTATGTAAAATTTTGATATGTAATTGCAGGACTAGACTCTGTAATTACGTCGACAAGTTTTTAAAAAATTGAGCAGTTTTATTATTTTTAGTTTTTTTAAGCTTACTTGTCTTGCTGAAATAGAGTAAAAATTTTTACAAATATTCAATATTGGTGTGTCACCCCTTCCCCCGTAAAATCGCCTCTGCTTTTACAGCCAAACGGTGTATCATGTTATTGGTGTTTAGAGGGGTTAAATTTTGTTCTTTCAAAAGATTTTCTTGGATCGAGACCTATCTTCAAAGGTGCAGCAATGGTTCTTTCAGACTTATCCCTTCCATTAATAGTTGTACTTGTGAACTTTTATCGAGTGACATTTTAGCCCTAATCTAAGATAATGATGTAAATTACATATGATTTTAATGCCTATAGAGCATTTTATACATTTAAATTAAGCGTATAAACATATAAGATATTTTCCTATTGGTTGATAACTCCGTAATCAGCCACGCAACGCATGGTTGTTTAGTTTGTTGCCAGTATATTTGCATTTATAAGTAATTATATATAATAAAACGAGTGTTCGAATCCTTTTGGTCATAACTGTAAATTGAATTAGTAAAAATTATAAAAAATAAAAGTTCTTTGTTTGGTCCTTTACGTGCACATTACAACTATATCCGTGAACGTGACCGGGATTAATAAAGCACCGGTTGCTTTCTTTATACTACTGATGGATAAAATGCTATGCTGTGCCTAGGTAATGCATTTCTTATTCGGCACATTTCAATTTCAGTATGGCTGTTCAATAAAATATATTCGTGCGCGATTCTGTAAGCAACTATAATCTTAATAAGTATATAAAGCTCAAAAATCTAAATAAGAAATAATTTAAAATCTTTAAACAGATTCATTTAATAGGTAAATAATAGTATTGTAAAAGTCACAAAGAAAAAGAAATTTTAATTTTATCTAACCGTTTTTAACACATTTTAAAAAAAAATGGTTTCTTTCGTTATGTCGATAATATCGAAAACTAAAAGATAAAGATAAATTTATTAAAGAATTTTAAGTAATCATAATAAATATATATAAAGAAACTTAGTGAGGGAAAAAAATTAAGTTTTAGGTACCTATATATTAATGATATACTTCAAAGCTAATACTTAACAATAAAAGCTTATATATGTATGTATGTATGCATGTATGTATGTATGTATGTATGTATGTATGTATGTATGTATGTATGTATGTATGTATGTATGTATGTATGTATGTATGTATGTATGTATGATGTATGCATGTATGCAAATGAATACATACATATGTTTATACCTGAACATATTTTTGTTGTTATTATTTTTAGAAATTTATTTATTGAAAATAAATGTTTTAACTTCTTTCAAGTATGTCTGCAGTTAAAGGCAAGTTTGTTAGTGCTTTTCAAAGCATGCAGATGCTTGGGGATTATTGTGCAAGTGATATAGCTGATGATTCTTCTAGAAAAGGATCTGAATTAACTAATAATAAAATCTCTATTACAAAGATAAAAGACTTTAAATCAACAACACCTAATAATATTGAAGAAATTCATAATGGTGATGAGTTATATAATCCTTTAGAAGAAGTGGATCATCTGAACACCATTCAAACTGTTGATATGGAAATAGTTAGTGATAATGAAAAAATTGATTTTTCTCAAGATAATGATAATACTTGTTTAAATTTAAATGATAAGAAGCAGAGGTCTGGTAGTGAAATGTTGCAAAATGATTCAATTTTTCAGGAGGAAGACCGTGGTTCTCTCAGTGATATAAATTATCAATCTTCACCAGAAAATACCCCAAAGGACAAAAAACCTTTTCTTTATTTAAAAAAAAACACTAAAATTGAATCATCAAGTAAAGCTAATGAAACTATTGATGATAATGATGAGTTGCTTGGAACTGCTTTAGCCGAATTAGAGGAAGAAGAAAGAGAAGAAAAAGAAAAACTTGCAAAAAAAATGTTAGAAGATCAAAAAAGGATTGAGAAGCAAAAGAAAAAAAAGAAAAATAAAGAAAAGCTTCAAAAGGCCAAAGATAAAAAGAAAAAGAAAAAAAAGAAAAGAAAATACAAAAACAAAAAAGTTAGCAGTGATGAAGAAAAAACAAAGAAAAAAAAGGAAAAAAAAAAAGATAAAGTGATTAAAGAACAAAATGTATTAAACCCATTAGAAAATTCGTTAAAAGTAAGTAGTGTGAAGCATGGTTTGTCATTAGAGATTAGTACACAAGCAAAAACCATTAGTAAAGATGACATTAAATATAAAAAAAAGGAGAAAGAGTCTAAAAAAAATTCCGATATTCGTAAGGATCTTAAGTATAATTCTCAGAGGAAAAACACAGACTTTAAAGATCGAGAAAGTTTGGAATTCAGGTCTCAAGAAAGTCATGAAAGTTATAAAAAACGTAACAATATTGATGATTATATTGAACCAAATCGTAAAAGGTATACAAATGATTTTATTGAACAAAACCATAAAAGATCTACTGATGATTATATTGAACCAAATCGTAAAAAATTTACTAATGATTTTGTTGAACCAAATTATAAAAGATCTACAGATGATTATGTTGAATCAGTTCGTAAAAGATATACAGAAGATTATGGGGAACCAAATTTTAAAAAATCTGCAGATAATTATGTCGAACCTAATCGCAAAAGATCTAGAAAAGATTCTGATGATAGACAAGTTTTACACAAAGATTCTGATGATAGAAGAGTGCCATATAAGGATTTTGATAATCGAAAAGTCATATATAAAGATTCAGATGATAGAAGAGTAATATATAAGGATTCTGATGAAAGAAGAGGTATGAATAAAAACTTTGAAAGCAAGAAAGACAGTTCGCAAGCTTATTTTACAAAGAGTAATGATAAGAATAATGATGGTCATAGACATAAACGTACTGATTATGAAATTGTCTTGCCTGAGAAAGGTTATTCGATACCAGAAAAAAATTATAAGAACTCAAATTTAGATAAATTGAAAGTAATTTCACCTTTGGAGCCAACTCGAAACAAGTTATATAATAAATCTAGTAAAGTTTATGAAAATAAACAAAAATCAGAAAGTGATACTTCACAAGAATCAGATAGTGAAAATACAAAAATTATTCCTCAAAGAATTTCATTCTTAGAAAACTACTCTAAAGAGTTGAGTAAATACAGGACTCAACACAGTACAGATTTAAATAGTCAAAGAGAGGTATCAGGAAAACATAATTTAGCAGTTAATGTTTCTCGTAGTAACCGTAAATCTAGTTCTAGTACTACAGAAGATAATCGACCAGAAAGATCTGAAATCCAAAGTGGTAAGGATTTTTCTTACCAAGACCAAACAAATGTTTCAAAATCTTCTTATCTTGACTCGGACAATTCTTTATCACAAACAAGTTGTAAAGACATTTCGCCTACAGAAATAGTTTCTAAAGCTCTATCGCCTATACTTGTTTCGCCTATTGATAAAATTGTTTCACCTCCCTCTAAAAATGTCTCGCCTTTGAAAAATGTTTCACCTCTACCTAAAAAAGATGAGAGTATTTATTCACCATCTTCAATTTTAAACACAGAAACAGCTATCGATTTACCTCAGGACAATTTATCAATGATTGATAGTGTACAAAGCGATGACTCATCTCAGGATGCAAATGAACCCAATAACTCAGATATAAATACATTTTCATTTTCAAACAATTGGCATAATGAGCACTTAATATCTGAAACTGAAAAATATAATGAAGAAAATGATGATAAAAAAAGTGGTATGTTGAAATTACATGATTATCAGAGACGCAAACTATCTGAAAAGTGTCAAGAACTTTCCTCATCTCGGTAAAATTTGTTTATTACGCTTGTTTTATGCATTTATTTGTTGTATGTAATTTTATAAGTTTATATGTTAGTTTAGCCTTAGTCTTTTTAGATATTTCTTATCTTGTTGTCATAAATACATATTTAGATATATTGCATTTTAAGTATTTTTTATACATGTCATCATAATTTTTTTAAGACTTAGAAGTCAATTAAAAAGTTCATGTTTTATAAGTTGAATATTTAAAATGGAATAACGAATTTGATATTATTTTCATAACAACCTTACGTTTTATCATGTGATAGCAATTCATTTTGTATTCTTGCTGTCATACAAAAGCAATTTTAACTATTGGCAATTAAAATTTGTTTGAAATGTATTGCTTTGTGTTTTAGTGTATTATTTTGTTGCTTTTTTTTTTGAGAAGCAGCAAAATAATAATACTATTATTCGATTTCGCAAAATCTATTAATCTAGCAGAAAAGCTAGATAAAAAGATTTAGCTAAACCAAATAAAAGTATTACTATTTTTCAGATAGCTTACCCTCCCCTCTTCTCAGCAGTCTAATGTGATAACAAGAAGTTTTTTTTTCCATATAAGTAGTTATATAGTTAACTAGAAAGATGTTTGATGCAGTTTTTTTAAGTAAGAATTAAAAAAAAAGTTAATTTTCTATGCAAACAAAAATTAAAATATTGAGACAAGCTGCTAATGATGAAGCTTTTTAAACTAAATAAATTTTTAATTGTATAGTTAAGTAAAATAAAATATGAAAGAAATTTGCTTTGTATTTTTATTTTTAGTGCTTCAAGCGATGTGAGCTCATCAAGTGCTGTTCCAAGTCCAGAACAAAAAACTTCAAGTAAAGAAAACATAAGTAATACTAAAGACAGCAAAAAGTAATTTTATTTATATTTAATTTTTAATAGCAAGAGGAGTTGTTATTTTTGGAATAAATGAAAAAAATATACTACTGTTTAACATAATCATAGTTCCTATTTATCGTTTTTTATTCTTATATTATAACTCAATTTTGTTTTTGATTTTTATTTTTTTTCAGCTTTAATAACTACTTATAAAAATAGTTTTTTCAATAGTTTACAATAAATGTAGATATAAATGTATGTATGCAAAGAAAATTCCAGGAATAAAGTAATACTGCCTGCTTTTGCTTCAACAAAAAATAAAAAGTGTAGAATTGCCCACGTATGTATGTATATATGTATGTATGTACTCTCACCTGCTGAATATATAGGGGGAACAGTTATTAATTTTTTACTGTTTTTCTGAACCCTCTGGAGCTTATTGTTTCGATAATTTTTCTTTGAGAAATAAATTTTTTCTTTACTAAAAATAATTAGAACCAACTAAAAAATGAAAATAATAAGAACCAAATAAAAAACTTCTTTTTGATTTCATAAATGAAATTTCTTTTGTTATAAAGTGTGAATTAACTTTCTAAAGTGTTTCTCAAAAACTAGTTAGTGTTAATTTCATTTGCTGAAACCATTTAAAATGTCGAGAAAGTTTTTTCGTGGAGCAAAGGACAAATATTCTTTAGCTGAAAAAGAAAGTTGAATGCGATGCTAAGTGTAAAGAGTTCAAAAACTCAGTGAACTGGAATCATTGGGTTAAAAAACACACAAAAATTATCTGAAGAAGGATATGTTGCATGTGCTGTTTGTGAATATTACCCAGATTTTTAAGGCATAAAATACAATGATCCTGTTCTTGTTAAAGCCTCAAAATTAGTAAAATGCTGCTACACCCAAGTATCAAGCAATGAAAACAATACTGCAGTAATTCAGCAAAATCCAAATACCGTCAACCTGGTGGTGAAAGAAAGTCTTTTGCACCCACTGTACAAGAAGTTTTTTATGATTTGTTCATTGATATTCTCATTACATTGAAAGCTCATATGCAACAATCAATGTTTAAAGCCCAAGTAAAGTTTTTTCATGATCATTGGCATGATCAATAACCAAATGATGTGCAGCTTTTAGCTTTTTTGAAATTCCTCTCCATTTGTTCAGCAGACAAGAGTGTTTATGTATGCATCTAAGGAATGGGGAATATTTGTATAAATATATATATATATATATATATATATATATATATATATATATATATATATATATATATATATATATATATATATATATATACAGCGACATATCCAGGCCGATTTTGATACCAGTATACCTGATGGGCCCCCAAATCTCAATTTAAAACAATTTCATATTAGCATTTGTTATGATATTAACGTCACTTAGAAAAACCAACTTTTGAAAAACGACTTTTAAAATACATTATAAATGTATTTTAAGCCAACCAGAATACTTCATTCAAATTCACGTTGATGAAATTTAGAATATGTTGTAATTGGATTAAAATGTAAAACGCACGTTTTGATTGGATTAAAATATAAAACACTTATCATTTTGAAATAACATTTTAAAAATTTCTCTTCCGCTTACGTTTTCATAACATAATTTTTAAAGCGATTAAACTATATGAGCTTTAAACTTTTTTATTTTATATAACAATAAAATTGTATTAAAAAATATTTTAAATAATGAAACAAATAAAAGTTTTTAAAACATAATAACATTTTAATATTTGCGCCATAAAACTTGATTTGAAAAGTAAGAGTAGAACTAGAAAAAAAAAGTTATTAATTTTTGAATGAAGTAAATAAAATTTTGAATGAATTGACCTTGTCAATTCATTCAAAATTTTAATAAATGTAATAAATCTTTTCCAGTCTATATAAAAAAGACATACAAATATTGTTTATTAAACGTTATAGTTATTGCTTGTTTATGAAATCCTACTCTTTCTAGTTAATAATATTTAATATTTTTAATTTAATAATTTAATTTAATAACTTTAATTTAAAATTTAGTATTAATTATAATTTTTAATTAATAAGCGAATAGAGCAAGTAAATAAAAACTAGCAATTAGCGACGAATCGATGTTGGAGTTAAATCTGTCATTCTGAAAAAAAATGTAACATTATTTTGGTTAATTATTTAAATTTTAATTAGGAAAAGTTAAAATTCTAGGTCAAGTATATATTATACACAAATAATTATATTTAAATTTGAGTAAAAAAAAAAAAAAAGGTCCTCGAAGGTGGACAGGAATTTTTGGACCAGTATGCCCAAAAAATTTCTGATATATATATATGTATATATATATATATATATATATATATATATATATATATATATATATATATATATATATATATATATATATATATATATATATATTATTTAAATCTCATTCAATATTTTCTTATAAATTTAACGCTTGTAACACTTTAGCTGATTCGAATATTAAATTAAAAGACCAAGGAGTTAATATATAAAAACTATTTTAAACTTTTTAATAGTTACTTTAAAACAAAAACAAACAAAAAAAGTAACTAATAATATATTTTAAAAAAATATACTTTATAAATTTTTTTCTTATTAAATAGTTAAATTCTAATTTAAAACATTTAAATTTTTAAATAAATAATTCTCTCTAAATAAAAATCTATTTTAATGTTTTATATAATGCGCAAGTAGCTTTAGAATACTTTTTAATTGGTTATTTTTTTATACAAAGTTTCATACAATGCGCAAATAGCTTTTGTTGATTTTTAAATTACCGCAAAAATTTTTCGAACCTTTAGTAATAATAATTTTTGTCTTGCAACTTTTTTTATTTATAATCCTTAAATTACATATTGTTAATTATTGTTTAAAAAAACAATAACTAATAATATGTAAATTTTGACTGTTGTTATTTTTGCAGTAGTAAATTTATTGTTTTTCTTTTTCATTAATTTTTGCAATATGATAAACTGACCTTTTCATTAAAACAGTGTTTACGGTTTTTAAAAAAACTAAGAATTTAATGACCACAGATATTTTCGGATATTGCAATTCGCGATCACTTAATTCGAGCCCTGTATGTATATTTATATATATATATATATATATATATACATATATATACATATGTATGTGTAAAATATATATACATATATATATGTAAAAATACTTTTTAAATAAAAAATAAGAATATACTAATAAAATTTATAATTTATAATAAATTTTCAAAATTTTGACCATTTAAATAATATATATTTAAAACATTGTAAACAAATAATAATAGTTTATAAGATTTACGGCTTTGCAAATGTGGCTCCGAGAATGAGCCATAATGTTGATAATATATTCTTAAAACAATTTATGCTAGAAATCTCAAAATGTAAAAATCGTGAATATAATTACTCAAACATTTCAACAGAATACTCTAGAACTTTATTTCACTTAGTCATTGTATTTTTTGAACCAATAGAATTAGTTTGTTCGTTAATTTGGCGGGTTTTTAGTGTTCGTGAATATTCTTTTTATTATCACGCACCAAGATGTTTTGAGAACATTCAAGTTTTTTATGTTTCCATGTATGTCCCTAAAACAAAAATTTTCTCAAAACGAGAACATTTAAGTTTTTAAATGTTCCAGTTTTTCGCAACTAAATATAATTTCCGTGGTCAGTATTGGAGAACGATCGCTCCCGCATCCTGACCAAGCCTGATATATATATATATATATATATATATATATATATATATATATGCACACACACACACACGAAATTACATGATAAACCTAATAAAAGTTTGCTCCATTTGGCATAGAATGATCTAAATTTAATCACATATGATACCTGGGAATCACACTAATTCAAGTTTTTTCTTGTAGTTTTATCTTGTAGAAAACTTTGTTTAAATAAGCAAAAGATATAAAAAAAATATAAATTGTATTGAAGTCAGTAGGCATTTCTCTAGCTGTTCAGATATCCTCTATTTTTATTTCTTTTAGTGGCACTGTTGATTCAAATAACGTCAAGCCAATTATTCCACTTTTAACAGATAATGAGAGTGATGAGCATAAAAACAAAGTAAGAATTATTTAAAAAGATGATGATGATGATGATGATGATGATGATGATGATGATGATGATGATGATGATGATGATGATGATGATGATGATGATGATGATGATGATTACGATGATGATGATGATGATGATGTATTTAGTAAAAAAAACTAAAAGCAACACAGTGAACTATAGGTTCAACATAAATATTTATGAGTTTATCAAAATTTTATTGAATAATATTTTTAACTAAATAATTTGTATAAAACAATAATTTATAAATTTTTAACTAAATTCATATACTCAAATAACAAATTTTGTTGTTATAATATTTATACAATATATTTATACAAATTTTATTTTCACAAATTTAGTCCTTACCAATCACTGTGGTCATATAAAGGTTTTTAAATGTACAAAATTTAAATTCTGAACTTTAATTTTTTTTTTAATTTATGAACCCTTAAGAGGTGTATCTGCTCTTTATTGGGAGATTCATACAACTTTTAAGTACGTCATTTTTTTGAGAATCATGAGAATTGCATAAAACAACCTTTAAGAAAAAACACAAAGAAGGTTTCTAGGTTTCTAGGCAGGTTCCTTCTACTTTTTGGTTTTAAGTGGTTTTGTGACACTTTTAGACCTTGTTAAGAAGCGTTATGTCATTTGAATTTTACTTAAAAAATAGCAAATTATATAAAAAATAAAAAAAACTACGTGGTACTCCAAAGCTTTTTTCAATCAGATTATTTAGTAAGTCTTTTAAAATATTTATGCAGAAAATATTAAACTGTAATTTATTATTGTAAAAGTTTTTTTTATCCTGTTGAAACTGATGAAAGAAACTAATATACAAAAGTGCTCATTGCACTTTTGCATTGACGAATAAACTATAATCAAGCCTTTAGGCAAAATTATTTTTTAAAATTTTACTATGATCAGATTTCAAATTTATACTATGAATGTGTAAGAATTATTTTTAAGTCATCTTCTTAAGTCATGTCTATATTAAAAACCAATAAAGTTATTAATTTTACTACAAATTTATCTTTCTTATTAGAAGAAAAAATCAATGAAAAAAAAATTATTTTTTACTAAGGTTTATTGTTTCCCCAGTTGTTAAAGTATGAAACTACTTCTTTATTATTTCCTGAAGTAGAACTACAAAATATCTCTTTAAAGTGGTTCTAATGTATTGTCACTGTTACTGCTGTTTAAAAAATTTTCGTTCATCACTTTCAAAATAAAGTTTTTTTTGTCATGAAGATCTTATTTTGCATTTCTTTTGACTTTAATTTTTTTTCATTTCTTGAAGCTTAATTAGTTCATTTCAAACAGGAGTGTCTGTAAATATTCAGGTATGTTGACACTTATGTCCTTTAACGGACTTCCTTGATCTAGCTTTTGGAAACGGCTTAACTTTTTCTAGACTTGCTCAGTGGTGTACACTGGATTTTTAGATGTTTGAGTTTTGACACTTACAGGCATTGTGCAAATTCCAAACTTTTGTATCAGAAAATATTATACAAAGTATATTACAGAAAAGATTTTGTGGTCAGAAAATATGTTAGGATTAATTAGTTTAATTCTGGCCACAGCAAACCTTGCAGAAACGTTAGAGTAAAATCTTGCACATAAGCTTTCTTAACAACTGCAGCAATATCATAAATGGTCATTGGTCTTGGATTAGATACAACCCAATCATCACAGGCTGCATTGTAATAATGTTTCAGTGGCCCATAAACTGACCAGTAATGGTTGCAGCATGTGACTAAAATGTGGTGGAAAGACAGCATAGTTATGTCATTATTTTAGCTAAATTGAAACGTATAATTGAAACATGACTCTCGTGGTTGTCTAGAAGTAAAAGCACTCAATTAGCTGGTGAACATTTCACATTTTAAATAAAATGTTTAATTCATTTTAAAAAGGTTGCAACATTCATCCAAACAGATGGGTTTACAATCCCAATATATCCAGCAGGGTTGCATGGTTTTAACCAAATGGTTTAAACCAATTAAAAAAATGTTGGTTTAAACCAAACTAATGTTTTTTTAAAAAGATTTGAACTTACAACAGGAAACTAAGACAGAGTTATGCTCACAAATATAACTAATCTTCAGTATAGATATATATTTTTAAATCCATGATTTTTGTTTTTGTTTTTTTAAAAAATTTATCAATATGTTTCATTCAGGATACACTCTACCTAATAGAACTGAAAATGTAGGAGAATTATTAGATGAAAAATGTAATGTATTGAATGGGAAAATTGTAGTCATGTCTTTAGATGGTTAGAGTAATGTACATATTGAACCTATAGTATCTCTGTAATTACAGATAAAATTAACATTTTAGTAGAAACAATCAACACTTCATTTACATACTGGTGAATATCTTACACAATTAGCAAGAGATGCAATAGATTTTGTAAGACGTAAATTTGGATGCACAGTAAAAAGCTTTGTGACTGACAATGCAGCTAATGTGAAATCAATGAGACAAGTATTGTCATCTGAAAGATATATTAAAATAACTTATGGGTGTGCTGCTCATATGCTGAATCTTTTTGCAAATGATCTTAACATTGAAAATGTGAGCAAGGATGTTACACAAATAATAAAATATATAAGAAATAATCATCAAGCTGGAGAAATTTATAAATTAAGCGGAGGAACAAAATTGCTACTTCCTGCTGAAACTCGCTGGAATTCTGTATTTGATTCACTTGAAAAATATGTCAACAACTGGAGCATTATTTTTACAATGTTTGAAAAAAATAAAGACTTGGGTCCCGTGATTGGTAAAAAAGTAAGGGATATACAGATAAAGCGAAACACAGAAGGTTTATTGAAAATATTGAAACCAATTGCAGTAGTTCTAGATAAGTTGCAAAGAGATCAAACAAAAATAAGTGACTCTTGAAATTTTTAAAGATTTGATGAACAGTTTATCAAACCAAAAAAAAAAGTTGAATCTAGATACCTTCAGACTGTCAGTGATGCTCATTTCCTGGCAAAGACATTAGATCCTAGATATTTTGGATCTAATCTTTCTGAAAATGAAAATGAAGCTGCCATGAATTTTGCAGATAAAGAGTTCAAGAATTTGTTACCAATATTACTCAAATTAAAAACCAAATCTACTATAACATAATGGAAATTGAAGGTTTATTAAATGCACCAGCTTCTAGTGCTGGAATCAAAATAATTTTTTTAACTTTTGGTCTTGTTCATTCAAGTTAAGAAACCGAGTTGGGGGTAGAAAAAGCAGCAAAGCTTGTATTTATATATAAAACATTAAACAATCATATATTAAATAACTATGATGAAATATAACAATAATATTGATAAAGAATATAGTTTACTCAAATAAAATACGTTATGTTTTTTTTAATTTAAAAGGATAACTAAATACCGCATTTTTTAGTAAAAACCTTTTAGTAAAAAACCAAAAAAACCATGGTTTTTTTATTTTTTTTAAAAAAAACCTATGGTTTTTTTTTATTTTTTTTTAAAAAAATGTTTTTTTTTTGAAACCCTGATATCAAGGTGGACCACCATTTATCAGGCTTTCTTTGAAATGACTCCTGGAAAAAAAAGAGAAGGAATTGATTTGCCTATTGCATTAACTACACAACAAACTGTTACCAATGTTCTTTCTGATAAAGTTATCCTTACAACTTGTTTATCTCCTTTACCAGCAATTACTTTAACTGGTTTTTGAACAGTTGTGAGACCTGTCTCATTAACATTATAAATGTTCTGTGGCTGAAACTTTTGTTGCAGACAAACATCTTTTAGATTGGTGAAAAGTTCTCTAACTGTATAATGATTAAAATCAGTTGCTTGTGCCATACTAGTAGCTTCTGGATTTTTTTAAAATAATTTTTTCCTACATAACATAAAACCAGGAAGCCACTGTTTCCCAGCAATTTTTGAACTCTTCCATGATTTAGGAATGTGCTTAGAAAGAGTCATTGCTAAGTCATATGCAAGTTTTTGTGTTACTTTGGTTGACAATACATAGTGAAGTTTTGAAGCCCCTAAAAGATAGTCTGATAAAGATGTTTCTTCTTCATTGGTATTGATTTGCATGGTAATGAATTTAGGTTTGCAGACTGTATTTGGATTTTATTGATATTTCCTTACATATCTCTTAAGTGTCATTAAGTTTATTTCCCTCTCCTTAAATACACAATAAACTGTACCACCATTATGAACTGCATCAACAGCTGCTCGCATTTAATTTTCATTAACTTTGCCTCTAGGTGGTCTATCGGTTTTTTTTATGATACATCATGTTTAATAGGGTGTCTCAAAAAAATATCTTATATTGAATTTTGATGTGCGGAATACTGCATTCTGCGTCATTTTGAAAATGAAGACGAACAAAAAAAATATTAAGTCTCTAGCTCTAGCAGAAGGTTATTTAGGTCAATTTCCTTTTTTTTTAATATATAAATTTTGAGATAAAATAGAATGTTATCTTAATATAAAAATAGCAATTGTTACTTAAAACAAAAAAAAATTGTTGGTGCGTGTCAAACAGGTGAATTTGAGTGCTATAAAATTTTTTAATTTCATTGTAAAATAACTAATTGAGTGTAGAGATGAGTTCACTTTTAAATGGGATAAAACGATACATTTAGCATCATTTTTGCAAATTATAGTAAAAACGTCAATGTTTTGACCTTGAAGCTGTATTTTAGTGTGAAAAGTAAAAATATTAATTCAGAGATTAGGTTTATCATTTAATTTCAAAAAAAATAAAAATTAATAAAAATACAAATATAAACCTATATTTTTAACTACAAAATATTACTCAACTAAATAATAGTATTAAGATCTTTCTTTGTAGCCTTTTTCGATATCTGCTGCCGGTTTCTCTGGACAACCTAAAAATATAAATATATTAAGTAAATATTAGATATTAACTATTCATATTATACTTGCTATTCATATTATACTTCATTGTGTGTTCTCTCAACAAAATCTTGAATCAACTTGATGTGACGTTCT